ATTCATCTCACCAACACAGGGTTTCTAGCAATGAGTACGGATATAGTTTCAGAGTAACCAGTAATGCTGTTGTGCCTTGCCCAGACCACAGGCTAGAAAGGTACATAGAAAATGCAGAAAGAACTGGGACTTTTCTGGTAATGAAAGCATCTGTAGGAGACGCGACTTCATTAATTCTTTGAATTAGAGCAAAAACGTTAATAGACAAAAGCTTGGGAGAATGGGAAAACAAAAAAAAGTGATCACCACCAGTGAATGGAAGAAGTTCTCGCTTGTAGGTCACTTACTTTTCTTGTATGGGATATGACTTCCAACTCTCATCTCTTGAACAAGATCTGCAAGCATCTGGTCTTCTTCTTTGGTCCATTCTTTCCTTTTCAAGTCTTTGTTATAAGCTTGGTACTTCTGCAGGCACTGGAAAGCGGTCCTGTTAGTCTTAACACAAGGAAAACAAAGCTCCTGAGATAACTGTGAATGTTTATGATGATAAAAAGTAAGAGGCCAAGTCTAATTCTTGGTGCTATCGAAAAGCTCTCGAACGCCAACGCTTATAAAATATCTATTTATGCAGCCTAAAAAGTTTACAAGCTGAATCAGCATGTAGAACATCAAACTTCTTTTTGGTATTGTGTTTGAAGGCTTCTCAGAAAAGCATTCAATAACAATGAATTAACGTTAGCTTTGGTTTTCTAAAAAGTTGCCATGAGGCACATTAAAGCCAGAACTGACTTTTCACCTCTTGCTTCTGGGTTCAGAACACCTTACCCCCAGCTCCTCGGCTACAGTCTGCCAGTCCAGGTAATTGTGATTAGCAGCTATTTCCTTTAGCTTCTCTATTTCCTCCTCACTCCATTCCTTTTTGTTGATGCTCGGATGCTCCCAATTTTGCCAAAACTTTCTCAATGCTTCTGAACTACGATGTCCATCAAACTAAGAGAAACAGCAAGAATCAGCTTTGTCTTGTAGCTGAGACCAAAAAACCTAGACAGATAACACTGATACAGGGAATACTTTTTGCAGACTTTCTATGTGTCTTAATTGCTAAATTATATAGAACTAAGACACCGAATTTAAGCAGTAACATCAAATTTTGTTATTGCCAAGTTGAAATCACACAACAATCAAATACTAGAAACTCGTGATGAAAACAGTGGATGCAAACTAAACCAGGGAAGGTAGTCCTCAAGAGAAGAGGCATAGATGTAATAAAATAACTGATCTCTTAACTTACGTGGATGTTTGAAATTTTCTCCCAGTCATGCTCATCGAATCTGTTTCCTAACAACTCGCTTTCTGGGAGTTGGCTAAAGCAAAAGGTACAAAGAGAAAGAGTAAACCACAATAAACGGTTAACTAAACAGTCCATTTCTCTGCCTGATCTTGTTCCATCTTATTCCTCTCAACTGTTACTGATTTCTATGAGAACTGAAGACTTACTACCTCACAGCAGCAGGCTCTTTAACATCAGTAACTTTGCTCAAAATAAGATTTCTTCCTTACCGGGTTCGTTCAAGTGCATTTACTCAGGTAAAAGGAACGTACAGTTCAAAAAGACTTTCCTGTAAAACGGTATTTGGTTTGGCAGGAGAAATTTCCTATTAATGCAAGATCAAAATACATTGTTCCACATGTACCTTAAAGTCTAAAGCTCAAAACTACAAAAATTCTCAGAGCCCTCTGCCTCCCTGTTGCTAAATCAAGAACTATTTCAAGCAGCACCTCTGCAGTAGCTACAGATATTTAATACATTTGTGTATCAAGATCCAAAACATATTCGTCTTTATTGAAGGGCTGTAGAGATGAGAGCTCTGAAGAGTTTGAGCAACATTTATTAACCTCTTACAAGCCAACACAAAGAAAGCTTGCTCCAAATGCCAATTCAAGAAGTGCTCAAGGAAGGAAGGAACGTTAAGGGGTAACCTCCAAAAGAACAGACTTTCATTTTCACGAATATCACGAAGAGACAACTTCTCACTTGATCGCCTCTATTTCTCGTTCTGCTTCTTTGATTTGCTTTTCCAAGATCTGTTTCTCCATTTCTGTCTTGACTTTTTCCAGCTTCTGATTCCAGTAACTCAACCTGTGCAAAGACATTTCCATCATTACTTAGCACAGCTAGACGGGAACAAGGTCAATGGCACGAAAAGAGGTAGGGGAGAGATGGTTTCCCCCTTAGCGTCATTATTTCCATAAAGTTTATTTCCACAATACACTAAACTTTTTCTGTGAGGTTTTCCCACATAGCAGACTCATTGCCCTATTTTTGCCTCTTCAGTGCAAGCCGTTGACCCAAGAACAGGTCTCAGATTAATCATTTTGATATTTACAGAGAGAACCGACAATAGCTGCAACAGCAACTAACAAAGGCTGTATCAGGTCCACGCACAGAAATTTCTTGTCAACTAGGAACCACACACACCATAAAAATGACCAGGAACAGGACCTTGTCTCTATAGTAAACTTACTCTTGGACACACTGTTAGGACTCGCTTGGTACACATCACAGTTCCAGCTCCAAGCCCTGCAGGCTATGTTTAGATACACCACCATGTTACTGGGAAGAACTAGATGGCTAAGAAATGCTACAATACCTTCAGAACATAAAAACTCTCCATCTGCCAGTTACCTGCAAAATCATCACCACGTGTTTACAACCTGACCTCTGTAACCTGTTCCTATGGTCAGAACATTACCCTTCAGTACTGAGTGCCAACATACAAAGAAAATAAAGATGTCAACAGCGAGCACAAGAGGCTGCTGCCTGCAGCAGGGTCATCCTCTGCACTGGCGCCTGCAGGACAGGGAGGTTTAGGGTTCACTGCTGTAATTCACAGAATGGCTCTCCCAGGGCCAAGGGTGACAGTTAAAGGTATCCCTGCTATGCTTGTAACCTTACTGAATTGCAGAGTTACTGACAACCCAAGAATGTGCTGAAGGAAGGTGAAATCTCATATTCACACTCCTTCCTTCAGATGCAACGTTCTCATTAGGAGAGAGGATTTTTGCACAGCACTTACTTCAGTAACTTTGGCTGAAGTAGGCGCTGCAAGCGGTCACTCACAACTGATTGGTGCAATAACGTCTTCTCTTTGCTCTTCCCTAGAAAGGACAAGACAGTCTGAGTAGAGTCATCAGTGCGAGGCCACTTCCAAGAGAGAGAGACTTTCAATATCCCTTTTAAAGCATCCCCAATGCTTTCACTAGAAGCTCATCTTCATTAGATACACATTTTTATTGGCAACCATAAGGCCAGAGGCACTATCAGAGGCTAGATAAATAAGATTCTTCTCTCCATCCACATCTCTAATGTCATGGCTGACAAGGCCAAGTCACAGCCTCCTGCTTGACTTAATTCAGAAGAGTTCTTGCTAAGGATCATCATCTAAGTAACCACCGAGGTGGATGTAACCATCTGGGCTGTAAGTGCCCCTTGAACCTCTCTCATCTGAGCACCGTCCTTGCCTCATCTCGTTTGTTTGAGTGCTCACGGGACAAGTGATGTAATGCATCACAACAAATGCAAACGAAAGCAGGAGGTAGGTTATTAATCAGAATCAGTGAAACAATTCATACAACATCCCATAACTCTTAACCATTTTTTCTGTAGGTTCAAGCATGGAACATCAGAAGCGTTGATGTTTCACCACAGATGGAAGGGGGGGAAAAAAACCCACTAATGATAATGAATATATCCATTTGTTATAGCTCTTTTAGAGCGTTGAGCAGCAGATACAGTGTCTTACATTTTGTCACAAGTAGTTGTTCAAAGGATTTTATGCCTTGAGCTGCCTTTTCCCTGGCATCTTCATTGGAAGGAGGGCCCTAGTAAAGATTAGAAGAGTTAGAGACACTGGAAGAGTCAGATACACAGAAAAAGGACCCTTTCTTCTTAGAACTCTAGCACAAACTGCTGCAAAAAAAATGACTAGGACTTGTGCAAATTTTGCGCAAATTGTCACATCAGAACTGACCAGTCACCTTTACTAATATTAGTTCACAGATAATTCAGAAGAAATTATCAAAGAAAAAAGAAAGAAAAAAAGGACAGATAGGTACTTAAAGCAAGTAAGTTTGCCCAGGGCTACACAGCACATACTCAATTTAGAACCAGGCCTGCTTGCATTAGCTAATAGTTGGTTGAAGTAGCATTTTGAATGCGAGTATGCATATCATCCATGTTTTTGTACCAACTTGTTCATTCCTACCCAAGGTGGTACTGCAGACTACTACAATTATCAGTTATTCCTTGAATATTACATTCATATGTAGAGCGATGGTTGATATCTTAGCAAAAGGGAATCCCGATTCTTGTAGCTAGGGACCCTTTAAAAAACACGTTAAAAAAAATAGTGAAAACTCATTTCCAAAGACAGTCACTTTTCAACAACTATGCTAAACAACAGCATAGAATTGGGTCTTGGAGATGAAAACAAACAGTCAAAGCTAAGTTAAAACAAGAACATGCGACTGCTTCATGGCTGGAAGGCCACTCCTCAGAACGCGCTTTGAGATTTTACGGGTTGAACAAACATTTCAGAATGGTATGTTTGTGTTCTGCCTGTGTCACAGCCAAAATTATCCAATTTCGCTCAACCTTATCATCTTGACAAGAAGGGGAAAAGTAAGCAGTGAGTGAGATTTTTGCAGTCAGAAGACGACTGAACGCACATGATGTAATGCATTTTCAGCTCAGTAACATTCACTCAGGAGAGAACGCAAGTCACAATTTAGGTCTATCACTGAAATACACGTAAATATGTAACATCATTACATTTACTTACAATTCCTGTTGCTTTATCCTTAAAGTATGGCTTCATAAAATGACCCAAAAATATATTCGCTGGTAAAGTTCTACCATCTCTTGCTTTTGCTGGTTTTGGACCACCAAGCTCCCACGTAATTTCCTTCTACAATACAAGAATTAGTGAAGCATACATATGAGTATCTCCTTGAAATTCTCCTCATTTCACAGAGCAGTGGCTGAGTCATCACAAATATTCCAGGCTGGGTTCAAGCAGTTTGCAGCACCAGACTGCACATTAGTGCATGTTTGATGGACAGGTTTTAGAACGTAACAAGTTTGTATAATACAATGTAGAACGTTAAAACAAAACAAAAACAACACCCCAATAAACTACCTTGCGAGAACAAGCTAAACATAAGATATAAAATACTCCAGTTGTAGCATTTTTAGTGGTAAGAAACCATAGAAATTGCGGTAGGAGTATAAGCCATTTGAAGAGCCAACAGTCAGGTGACTTCGGTTTGAGCTGCCACGAAAAAAAAATGAACTCAGTTTCCCAGTTCCTCGCCAAGTAAGCTGGTCACTGCACCAGCATACACGTAGGAGACTTCCCCATGCTGCAGCTGATTCCAGTGGTACCTGCAGTGCATTAGGCATGTTCTGGAAAGTTTTACTGGGCTTAATGGACAGAGGAAGGGGGCAAATGGCAACCCAGAAAAGCACAGGGAGGAACATTTGACTCCTGTTTCACTTACCTGCTGTTCTTTGTTTTGTGCAATCAGAAGTTCAACTTCCTCAATCTTCTCCTGGATAACTTCCTGGTACACATGGTTCATCTGCAGACATGTTTCCGGATCCTCTGGAAGACTAGTTTCGATATCATCATCACTGCTGTCCTCTTCCCTTTCCACTTCCTTGAGGTAAGTGAGGCATTTGGGGGCGGGGGGCAGGAGAGAAGGGGAGAGAGAGAGAGAGAGAGAGAGAGAGAGAAAGAAACGACTGCTTTAAAAGCAGGTATGCAGCGTGATAATTATTTAACCCAATGCTTGTATTATGTTAGAAAACTGGTTTTCAGAAGAACTGGATGAACATAACTGTTTCTCCCTGGTTGTCATTTTGAACATTTCCAGAGCCTGAGCTAGTTCCCAGGCTTCCAGAGCCTTGTCTAGTTCCCTTCTTCCTGCTCAGTCTGCTGTTTGAACCACTGAGACTGACACCAAACCTTGCCAACAGCTGATCTTGTACCATCAACAGCAAAACTGTAAGTAAACTGCAAAAAAGCAACACTTCACACTGGAGTCCTCCCACCTGCTGAGTCAGTACTTTAGAACCATCCTTTCAAATTTCCACCTCAATTGTACTTCTACTGAGCAGTTCTCCGCTTTTATGTTTTATTACCACATGCTTCAGACACAATAAAGCATGGCTCTGAGTTTCATGAAAACGCTTTATCATATATGAAAAAATCAATAATCTTGTACAAACTACCAGCAGATCTGCCTTCACAAACTAGTTTCTCCTTTATTCTGCTGTACAGATGTTAAGATATTTCTGTGCACAACGTTCTTGTACGGAGTCTGAGAAATTATTCTGTTTAACGTAATACCAAAAGCAACAGGATGTGTAAAAAGTCTTAGTATTAAGTCACCCTCATCTACAAACCAAGCCTTCTTCAGGTACAATGAAGTAGAATATCCTCAGCCTGCGATCAGGAGATCTTTTTCTCAGGGGCAGTTGCTCTGCTGCCCTCCCAGACGCTGGTCTGTTTCCAGAGACAGCTATCAGCAGAGAGTAGCAAGCACTAGAGCAGAGGCTTCTGATCCCTGTAATCTGTTTTGAAATGAAGTCTCTCTACCATATGTGAATAACAAAGACCTGGGCAGGAATAACTAAGCTTCCAGGTCTATTATTAGTCCTTCCTAAGCTTCAGAGACAAGCCAGTTGCCAAGATTTCCCCAGAACAGCGTGAAATTTCACGTCCCCTTGCCTCCTGCTCCCTTCAGTGGGCAGAGAGAAGGATACGGTTAAAGAGAAAACGGTTACCGTTTCAGCATGGGAATCTGAGTCATCATCTTCAGCATCATCATCTGTTAGACAACAAAGATACACAAACGCTGATTGCAGTGAAAAACAGAGAGCTTTAAAAATAAAGACTTTTCAGTTAGCACACGCAAAATAAAGCCCCACATAGCATCTCAGATATGACCATTAGGGTTTTCAGGTACTACCAACGTTGCCAAAGAGAAACGATATTTAGTTATACTCCACGTATTCACTTCTTTGTTCTAGGGCAGGCAAAAGAACAGCTCCTGATAACTATGACAACAACCTGGCTGCATCTTGGTCTTAAAATAAAGACCCCAGGGTATAGAGCTGAGTAAACACTCCAACCCCCCAAAACACAAAGTTAAACTGTGAAAGCACTTAGCAGCCCTTCTGCACTCTTCAGCAATGCTTGGTTTTGTCTTCACAGTGGCTACTGAGTCCTGACAGTCTTCAGACTTGCAAGATCGAAACACTGGTGGATGAAGTGGTTGTGACAGCCACCAGAAGCATAGAAAACCAAACTTTTAACACCCCCTTCTTTGCTATGAAAAGGAAATTTTAATAGGCCCTCCCAAGAAGAGAAGCAGGTTGGCCCGCACCAAGGAGCGGTCTAAACGGACGAGACAAACCGATGGCGTGCCGAGAGCCTCGGTTTAGTCCTGGGCCGTATTTGGGGGGCTGTTAGAGCTCCCAATCCAGCTGGTTACCACCGGCCCCGACCGAGGCGCTCCAGCCTGGTGCTCCCTTACGCCCTGCGCGCTCCCTTGCCGCGGGAACAGGCCAAAGGCCAGCGCAGGAGGCTTCTCCTTCAAGGGCGGCAGTTAAGGGGGGGCCTTTAGGGAACGACGGGGCCCAAAGCGTCCAGCATTCACCCCCGAGTGCCCTTTATTGGCCGCCACGCCGCACGACAGAGCCCGCGGCGTTACGGCGCGGCGTTTCCCCACAGGCCGGCGGGCGCCGGGCTACAAGGCCAAGGC